CCGTTATGCGATCGTCCAACATCTGTGGAATTGCATTGAAAACCTCAGTAACCGTGCGCATTAAGTCCTGCACGGAACGTTCGAGGTAATCCAATCGATCATCCCGGGGCTCCCCCTGTCCCGCACCAGCATCCCGGTCTCGTTCACTCGCCCGTTCGTCCGGCCAGAAATCGTCTTCAATCCGAAAAGTTTCTGCCGGGCAGCTCCGTGGTCTTTCGGGATACACGTCTGGCTCAAACAGGCTTTCCCGAAGTCCACTCCCACGATGAGCAAAAGTCTCTTTCGTGCCTTGAGTATCAAACATAGTCCAATCCTCCGTGGTCCTCGTCTCCCATTTTCCCCATTGTGACGGGGTAGGAGGCGGCCAGGGAATAGTCTCATGCCTCGGGATCGCTCCCCCGACGACTCCCTCGGTCGGCATCGAGCCCGACGTCGAAACGTTGACCGGGATGGCACCTCGGTCTCCCATGAAATATGGAGGTTTCCCTTCGGCCCCGCTCATGACCGGAGTCAGATTCGGGGTGAGGGGGAAAAAGTGATTCTTAACAAAAATGTTAGATCCCAAATCAGGAGAATAGATCCACGTTCAAAAAGAAGAAAGATTTATTTCCAAAGCATGGTTGATCACGAACATACAGAGATTGTTAAGAATAACTACAATACCCAGGGAAGGTGTATTAAAAGGAAATTCAAACCAGGTTTAAACCAATGAACATATTTCCCTCGTCAGGCTCACAGATTAGAAAAGGCGTGAAGCGGGCTGAGAACAGCAACGGCCAATTCCATAAACACAGGTTGAGTTCACACGGGAAACCTAAACAAGCCAGAGCTTCAAGACATAAAACCACATCACACCAGCTGGAGACCTTGGCAGTTACAGAGGCACTACATGGACAGGATAAGGCTTTGGGAGACAGGGAGGGGGATGGGACACGTCCCAAGGAAATGGCAGCTCGCTGACAATATCCATTAAATTAGTGGTTTTCTCTAACATAATTATAAATGCCCCTAACCATGGTGTGTGTGTCTTAACACAATTGCTTACCACAAGGGATGCTGCTTGGGCACTAACCCCAGTGATCCTGAGAGGAGTTTAACTGAAGAAGGAGCAAGAATTAGGGGTGTGCACAAAAAAAGCCAGAATTTTTCGGATTTGGGTATATTGGACCAAAAAAATTGGTATTCCTGATATTCCCAAATTCCAATACCAATTTTTCCAGTATCTTCTGGGGACCGCTATGGAGACCATTATAGTTAATGGGGAATCTATCCAAGGGTATCGTAGGGTCTTGGGGGGGATGGTTGAGGTAGAGGCACCCAATTTGTGGCATAGCTGCTGGTGCCTCTCCTTAGAAGGACTCCCAAGATTCAAAAAGTTTGGACCAAGGGGTCCAATTCTATGAGCCACCAAAAAAGGTGACCCATCCTTCATTGTTTCCAATGGAGGGGGGAAATAGGGGAAAAAGGCAAGGGCAAGAGAAGACCAGCAGAACAAAGTTCCAGAGAATCTCTGCAGTAGAAACTGAAGGGGGTGGGGGGGGGGATTTTGCAAACCCAGCAGAACCAGTGCCACTTGGGCAATAAAACCCAACATGACTAAGGTCAAACCAGAGAATATCTGCAGTAGAAAATTGAAGGTGGGGAGGCATTTTTGCAACCCCAGCAGAATCAGTGCAATGTACAGAGTGCCCAACAGAACTCAATGCCATTGTGGCAATGCCAGCTCAACAGGACTGATGTCAAACACAGAATCCAAATCCAAGCAAGGAGAGAGGTTGCAAGCCCAGCAAAACCAGTGCCCAGCAGAAGCCAGTACCACTGAGGTAATGGCAGCTCAACAAGACTGATGTGAAGCACAGAACCACAATCCAAACAAGAATGGTGGTGGTTTGCAAGCCCAGCACAACCAGTTCAGTGTACAGAATGCCCCACAGATCTCAGTGCCAATGTGTTAATGCAAGCAAAAGAGGACTAATGTCAAATCAGATAATCCCTGCAGTACAAATTGAAGGGGGTGGACATTTTTTCAAGTCCAGCACAACCAATCCAGTGTACAGAATGCCCAGCAGAACCCAGTGCCATTGTTGCAGTGCAAGCTTTAAAAGGACATATCTCAAAGCAGAGTCACAAGAAATCCAAGCAAGAGGGGGTTATTTTGCAAGCTCAGCACAACCAGTTACAATGTGCCCATGCCACTGGCACTGCAAGTTTAAAAGAACTGATCTCAAAGCAGAGTCACAAGAAATCCAAGCAAGGGAAGTGGGATTTTGCAAGCTTTGTGCAAGAAAATGGGAAGGGAACACAATGAAAGGCAGGTAAAGGGGGGGGGACTCTTGAAACTGACAAGACCAGTGGGGAAGCCCACAGAAACCCCCAGACACAGAAACAAAAAAGAAGAGAAAAAGCAGTTCCTTGGAGCTGCAATGCTGGCTCCTGATCTTCCCAGAAAATCCCAAATATATCGGGGGGAGGTTTTTGCTGGGGGTTGGTTTTTTTAAAAAAATCCCAGATATCTTTGGGATGCCGAAAAATACTGATAAGGTGTTTTCCGGGTATATTTTCAGCTCGGGTATATCTGAATGCACACCCCTAGAAAGAGTACATACCCTCTTAATGAAGCAGAGATGACCCTATTCCTGATCTATATGTTCAGGAATAAATAAACAAGAATGAAGTCAAGATCACCTTCTCAGTACAAAAGGGTCAATTAGGTAATAATAGGTATGTTTAGCCAGGAAATTCGAAGACAGTCTGGCAGCCAGAAGTTTTCGCTCCTTTTAGCATTATACACCACTAGGTGGTGAGCTCGACTTGTTTTTAAGGCAAGAGACATTTCAGAGGTGGTTTGCCACTGCCTGCCTCTGCATTACGCCCCAGTATTCCTTGGAGGTTGCCCATCCAAATACTAGCCAGGACCAACCCTGCTTACCTTTTGAGATCTGATGAGATCGGACTTGCCTGGGCTATCCAGGTCACGGCTGGTGAATTAGGTACTTGTCTGAAATACAACATTGTTACACTAACGATACCGATCAATTTCACTAGAGCAAGAGAACCTTTCTGTACATTCAGAACTCTTGACTTTTGGGTTGAAATACCCAAGCAGCCACTTTCATGCAGTGATACTAAAATGAATCTTGCAAGTCTGCCCCAGTCAAATTTGTCTACAGGGCAGTCCTATTCATGTTTACTCATAAGTAAGTCCGGCTTTATTCCTTGGGGCTGACTCCCAGATGAGCACGGCATGTGTCCATAACAAAAACAGGCAAATATGCACACTGCTAAATCAGTCCTATGGAGCTGCGGTGGCTCAAGTGGTTAAGACGCTGAACTGCAGGCTGTGGAAGGTTGGTAGTTCAAGACCCGAGTTGCCACATGACGAAGTGAGCTCCCGTTTCTAGTTCCAGCTCCTGCCAACCTAGCAGTTCGAAAGCAAGAAATTGCAAGTAGATAAATAGGTACCACTTCAGTGGGAAGGTAACAGTGTTCCGTGCGCCTTGGTGTTTAGTCATGCCGGCCACATGACCACGGAAACATCTTCAGACAGCGCTGGCTCTTCGGCTTTGAAACGGAGATGAGCACCGCAACCCTAGAGTCGGATTCGACTGGCTTTCGAGCAAGGGAAACCTTTACCTTTACCTTTTAAATCAGTCCTTCTCATGTCCTATCTTGTTGCAGATGGCATGCTGATGACCACTCAGCGGGTGGAGAGTGGCAGCACCCTCACCAAACAAGTCACTCAAGAGTTTGTCACCAGAACCATGATGTCTAACAGCAGTGGGACATTCGACAGACAGACAGACAGGCAGTTCTTTGAAGGCTGAGTCCAGAAGGAAGCAGCCAAATGGACACCTGGATTTCAACAGGGGATGATCTGAAGTGGGCCTATTCTGTGGTCAACTTCCAGACAAGCTCATAGTGCCTGCTTTATTGCGCCAGCGTTAAAAGCATTAGATGCTGCTTTGAAACGCCACTGGGAGGAGGATGCATGCAGCTCAGGTGGAACCCTAAGACATTATGAAAAGAGCTTTTTTTTAAACTGCAGCTTGGTTATGAAGGGCTATTGCACAGTTCTGACTCAAGAACCTGACTGTTGCATTTTTGTCTGTTCAAATGGCATCACTGGAAGCTCGATCACATAGGACTGAATCTGTGTTTAAATCACCCCTCAATGCCATTCCATTGTATTTTTTCTATTTGTGTTGTGATTCCTTTCCTAAGTCCCCAGCCCCTGTCAACACTCTTATAACTACCAGCAAAAGCCATCTGTTACAATTTATACATTTTTGTAAGTATACCTGTTGGAATGCGGAGCAGGAGCATTACCTTGATTCCTACTACATTTCTGTGTAAAAACCCCTGCTGATAAAGTATGGTACTACAGCAGCTGATTGGAAAGTTAATGTTCATAGCACCACCTACAGTGCCTTATGGAGAAATGATGCTTACAGTACTGTACAGTTTGCCTAACATATATATATATATATAATGTATTTGTTTACAAAATGTATTTTATCTCAACTAGCAACAGGGGACCAAAATTCAGGTCTAATCCTCACCACCTATAGAAGCAAGCAGGTGGCCTTATAATCAGTGCCTTTACCATGAAAGCCCTAGAACAAAAGTGTTTCATTTTGAGTGACCACTATCAACAAAAATTTGCTAAATGCCACCCACAGCCTTCCCCTTCCCTCTAATTCACTGGCAGCGGTGGCCAAGCAGCAGAGCAAGTTGATGACAACACTGGCTATGTTGGTGTCATAGGCTTTGTTTCAGCCATTTTGCCTCCCCCCCCCCAATGCTTTCTCAACCAGTGGCAGCAGTTTAATTGTACATGTACATTGTTTTCCACTACCTTTATAATACAGGCATTAGACACTCCTGTGCATCCACAATTCAGTCACAGTGCTTCGTGGATACTGTAGTCAACTATAGCATCTATAAGGTCGTGCGATTGTGAGATGAATCAGGCATGAACAGGAACACTTGCAGCCTAAGTATTACACAAGCTTTGTCTAATATTTCAGCTTTGCTGCAAAGCTGCTCCAAGTGTGGGGCAGGAATTCTGTGGATATATGTCCTTCCATATTTAGATATATGGATATTTGCACAGAATCCCTCTACTGAGTTCTGCTGATCCCTTAATATAATGAAACCCTCCCTGCAAGCAGAACAGTGGCATAATGGAAAAGTTCTACTCTAACCCTCCCTCTTCCGTGCTGGTGTTAGATGTGCAATAAGATTTTAATGTATTGAAACATTCAAAAATATGACCCCCTCCAATATAGTTTGAAGTGGTACAGAAGCAATCCTAAAAAGGGCTACTCAGAATCCTACTAACTCTATTCAATAGGACTCACTCCCAGGAAAATGTTCTTAGGATCTGATAAAGCATGCATGCACATGAAAGCTTATACACAGAGTTAAATTTTGTTGGTCTTAAGGTGCCACTTGACTCAAACTTTGTTCTTAGGATTGCACTGTTAGTCCGTTATATCACTTATTTCTGCCCAACCTCAGGTTCAAAAGCCATGATTTGTCCCGTATTGTCTCAGAAGGATAACAGGGTGAACTGGGTGAGGGAGTAGCTATAAAAAGACCAGAAAGGACAATCAAGAGAAAATGAGGGCAGAAACAAGGCAGGAATTACATACATGAACTTCAGTCTACAGACAAGCTGCCTGGCCATACTTGTCTTTTCTACAAGTAGGTGTTTTACTTATTTGCCCATGTTTATTTATTTATATGTGTGCACATTTAATGATGGAATCTCTAAAACAGCCACTTTCCCCTTTGCTAAAAAAACAAACTAGAAACCCAAAAGAAAGCCCCAAAAGTGACTCCTGTTATGGCACTGGGTATCTTACAGTGTTGAAAGATTATGACTCTAAAGTCATCATTTCCTTTTGTGCAAGACTGTTCCCATAATGCAATGGTTTTCCAACGAGGGTTCCTCAGTTAGAAGATCAATAATGCGGACAAGTTCCTGAAAAAGATAGCTCACCTACCACTAGTGCTCTGTATATTGTATGACAGTGAGGCTCCGCATGCTTGGCCAGTAGCCTACATTAACTGAGTGTGCATCCTACTACAATATGCCCTGGAATCCTCTGCACACTGTGACTCCACGGCAGTAAATAAGAAATTCTGCTGCAGACAAATATACGTGGACAGAGTCTCTGAAGGTTAGAAACTTCACCACCATGTTAACACAGCTGGGACAATTCCACCCCTATGTAGGAGTTGCCTTTTGCTTTTCATTTGACTGTGCCCTAACCTCCTGCATAAACATCAGAGCCACCAACAGAACCAACTACTGATATTTTGGTTTAATTAAAACTATAGGAAGTTCAAACAGTTATGGGGTCACTGTACCATGCATATACAAGCCCTAGTAACAGGCTGGCTCCAATGTTGGAGGGAGGCGGAACTTTGCCCAGTGCAGTCTACAGCAGCAGCTCAAACCTTTTCGGGGGGGAAGTAGTGGTTGTGACTTCCCCCTAGGGTTGCCAAGTTTCTGCTGTATGTACAGCGGGGGACTCCAGTGTTGCTCTGGGAGGGCGTGCGCGCTTCGCACACGCGCGCCGCAACCATATCACCCGGAAGTGACGCAACCACGTTGGGCACGCCGGGGGCGGGGCCACAATCATCCGAGGGAAAACCATAGAGTTTTCCCTCGGATGACCGTGGCCCCGCCCCCAACGCGCTTGACACGACTGTGTCACTTCCGGGCGACATGCTTTGGGGGTGGGACTCCCCCCGGGGCCCGATCCACCGCCACCGGGTAATGGGCCTCTCGGGGGGGGGGTTCCCTTCCCCCTGGGGGGACTTGGCAAGCCTACTTCCCCCCATGGGTAAGGGGGCCTTGACAATTGACCGAAGGTGCTGACCTCAAATCTAGCCTAGTAAAGAGTAATTGGAGGGCTTTCACTTTTGATAGAGGTATACATTTGGATTGTTTGGAGTCTCACTGCAGGTTTACCACTGACTCCTTAAAACTAGGAAATCCTCCAAACCTTCCTAGATTAACTTTTCGAAGGGGATGGTTTCTTTGTAGAACTATTAGAACACAGCCAATTTCATGGCTCCTGTGTACTCAGTTCCCAGCACAGCATATCATTGGATATCGGCTAGCTAGTGTATATCCAAAGCTTACATTGCACTCTCTTGTAAAGTTACTGTTCCTTGGTCACAACCACTTTCTACATATTATATTGCTCTGTACTGAAAGTGTATCACAAGCCTTCCTTTTAACCAAAGTACTCATTTGAAGTATCTGGTGGGCCAGATTTCAGCAGCATAGTGTTTTTATCACTAGGTAAAAAGAGAATATTGTATGTTTTCACTCATGTAACAGGAGAATTGCAACGGGATGCAAGTGCCATTATTGTAGCCTACTGCAATTGCCATTGGTTGGTGACATTTGATACATATGCAATGTGAAAACTGATGAGCAGTCTGACAGCTGATGTTCTGGATCTGATATTGCACTTAATAAATATTTTCTCTGTGGTCCAGGTTGATTTTTTTAAATTTTCAAATATGCCAAGATGTACAAACACTAACAGCTGTGTCTGTTGAGACTGTAAGTACAGAGGTAGGTGTGCCAAATCCCATTGATTTCAGGTCTAACTCTGTATAGGATCAGGCTCTTAATCTCTCTTTTTGTAGAATGCCTGAATTATCCTGCTCTTCTTTTTTACAATGTTCAGAGTTTACAAAAAAGTTGACAAGAGCCATGGGCAGCAACCGTTTGGCCAGAGGGGCTGCTATGAGGTGGACTGGGGGGGGGGGAGGCTGGGGGTTCGAAGTTCCAGGGGCCCAGCAGGCTGTTGGCAAGGCAAGTTGCACTGCTGCCATTGCCAGATTGCCTGGATTTGGCCCAAGGGTCTTCAGTTGCCTTTGGTTGGCGTGTGTTGAGTGTCATCAAACTGCTTCCAACTTAGTGATCCCATGAATTAGTGACCTTCAAAATGCCTCCAGAATGTCCTATCCTAAACAGTTTTGCACTCAAGTCTTGCTGTCAAACTTGGGCCTCGTTTGCCATGGGTTTCTTCACTGTCAGTCTGACTTTGGCTCTGTATGTTTATCGTCCCGTTTCATTCTGGCTGGGAGGGGGGAGCATGTGAGTGTGTGTGTGTGGAACTGCTTTGCTGGGAGTAGCGCTCGCTTGTAACTGCATCTATAGGGGGCCTCCCCTTCCATGGGAAGAAGGTGTGCTTGTCCTTGAGTACCAGACACTGCTAGATAATGTAACCCTGTGTTTGCAGGTGTTGGTGGAGGGCTAACGGTGCACAGTAGATGGAAGGCTGGATGTATTGGTGTGATATGACTGGTCATAAGGGGGAGTGCTGTTTGAATTATGTACAATACGAGAACTGGCATCAAGGGAGTCAGTTCTGACACAGATCGTCTATACTTGAGACCTCTCTATTGCTTTGTAAACAAATCACTGCCAAGAGAGTGTTGCTGGAAGTGAGTTTCTTCAAGACCTGACACTTGCAAATTGAAGGCCACGGCTACCTTTATTGAGTCAAGGCATCTCATGTTAGGGAGTGGTAAATCATCTGCTCAGTGGTAGCTCAGTGGTAGGTCATCTGCTTAGCATGCAGAAGATCCCAGCAGAAGGTCCCAGGTTCAATCCCCGGAATCTCCAGTTTAAAGGATGACATAATAGGTGAAAGACCTCCACCCAGGACCCTCAAAAGCTGCTGCCAGGCTGAGTAGGCAATACTGACTTTGATAGACCGATGGTCTGATTCAGTATAAGGCAGTTTCATGTGTTCATATAGGACCAAAAATCTAAATGTAATTAAACCCATCACCACCCACAATGAAAAGATGGAAGGACAGATTCAAGCCAAAGGGTTCAAGTTTAAGAGCTAATCTGATCACAACCCATAATAATACTTGTACTGGAAAGACCAAGTTCCCACATTCGTGGGAATATTATGAAGCATACTAAAGAGACATTGCATGCTAAGTAACCTTACTGTGAAGCTTTGGAAGAACAGAATTTAGGACTTAGAAAGGACAACAAGAGGGACCCACGATACTTGCGGAGGGGGGGGGCTCTTCAGGGCTGAGGAAGCAGGAGGGGTGTGCAGACGTGAAGCTGGGCTGCCGCGCAAGGGTAGAAGTGCTCCAGTGTGTGAGGGAACCGGCGAGACGGACTGCCGGGAGATGGGGGGGGGGTGCCAGGCAGTGTTCCCTCTAAGCTGAGTTACTGTGAGCTAGCTCACAGTTTTTTAGCCTCCGGCTCACACATTTTTGTCTTAGCTCAGGAAGGATGGCTCCAGTGCAAACTAATTTATGCAGTAGCCAAATCATCTGCTCAAAACTTTAATGCCAGTAGCTCACAAAGTAGAATTTTTGGTCACAGGACTCCACAGCTTAAAGGGAACATTGGTGCCAGGCACAGAGAAGGCAGCTGCGGAGGAAAGGGAGAGCCACAGCACGATGGGCGGGCACAGGGACTCCACTGCGCCAGCTGGCCCCCCAACGCAGCCGGTGAGCGGGCACTGGGGCAGCAGCAGCAGCTGGGTGGCCTGGCGTTGCCTGCGGGCGGGGGGGACAGCAGCGGGAGGCTCCGCGACTGCCTGCTCTTCTGTAGTGCCAAGCCGCCGCCGCCGCCCGACTACACACTTTTTTTAGGGGGGGGATTTAAATATTTCCAAAAACCCTTCTTCCTCCCTCAGCAGTGACAGCGAGTCTGGCGCAGCTGCAGGCCCGCCAATCCCCCCCCCCGCAAAGGCTGCGAGGCACCGTTCCCAGTGCGTTCCCTGCACATGCGCAGTGAACGCTTTCCTACATTTTGGGGGATTTTAGATTTTTGTGCACATCTGGGGATTGCCCCAAATGTGCAGGAAAATCACCCTGCCCCCCAAGTGCCCCCGATGTGCGGATTTAGATATCCACATGTAGGGGACATATTGGGAATTAGATATACAAGAAAGGGGACCCGCGATACTCGCGGGGGGGAGAGCTCCAGGCAGAGCAGGAGGAGGAGGAAGCCCCCCCCAAAGCGAGGGCCGCGGCTTGCAGCCGCCGGGGCTCGCCGGGCCTCCCCGCCGCCGCCTCCTCAAAGCGAGGGCCGCGGCTTGCAGCCGCTGGGCCTCACTGGTCGCTCGATCCCCTCCCTCCCACTGAACCGAGGCAGTTCGCAGAGTGTTCCCTGCGCATGCGCAGGGGACGGTCTGTTACTTTTGGGGGGATTTAATTTATTTATTTATTTATTTTTAAATTTATACCCCGCCCTACCCCCGATTTTTTTTCCAGGTTTTAAGATTTTTGTGCACACCTGGGGAACGTCCCAAGTGTGCACAAAAATCTTCCCCCCAGGTGCCCCCAATGCGCGGATTTAGGTATCCGCACACCAGGGGGCACCTTCGCTATTAGATATATTGTTTCTGCAAGCCATGAAGCAATAAAAGTTTTGAGTTCGGTCCCGGTCTCTGCGTTCTCTGGCATGTTTCGAAATTTTAGATTGGGCTCTCGAAGTTTATTTTCCAGGTACATAATTTTGGCAATTGCCCAGTCTTCTGACTTTTGTAAAGCTCTAATGTCTTCTTGTGCCGCTATTGCTATGTCCATTGCCGACTCGGCGGCCTGGGAGACTTCAGCGAGAGTCGAGGTTATCGATTTTAGTTCGTCTTTAAGAGGTTTAATGTCCGAGCGAACCGAGTGAACCTGTTCAGCGATGTTTTGCTCCAATTGCTTAATGTTTGTTAGAAATTCAAAACGCGACAGTACCGTACCGTCGTCCTTAACGTCGTCTGAGGCGCGGTCGGCCGCCATTTTAGAGCCCTGTTCGAGCGTTGCGCTTGCAGGCGATGTCGTTAGATCTTTCTTTAAGAAATTCGTAAGTTGTTGGGAGGATGTCGTTTTTTTCGCTGCTCTGGGTTGTCCAGACTTCCCCATGAGGAATTTCGAGTTTGAGGAAGCCAAATAGAAAGGTTGTGTTGAAGATTTAACGGGCGGGATGGGAGAGACGATCTGCTACGCGTCCACCATAACCAGGCGCCAAGCTCCGCCCCGCTATTAGATATATAGATAGATAGCCCACTGGAAACAGACAAACTGGCCATAGATTATATGTGGTGTTGCCATAACTGCATCCGGTCCTACTTTAAGCTGTAAAAACAGCCAAAGCAGTTGCTGGGCCCTAGTGCCTACAGAACCTTGCTTGCAGATGAAGCATGTAGAACAATGCTCACCATTTTCTTTTGTTTACACGATTCCTCTAAAACCAGCCTTGAACAAAATGCTCTAATCATAATGGAGTCTCCAGCATTTAGAGTAATACTGTATCACAAGTTATGTTTGTCATGAAGAAGCAGCTGAAAAAATCTCCCATGTGGTATTATTTACCGCTATGACATAAAAAGCTTTAGCTGCCTAATTCTATACATTAAAGGGACAGGCCATTTTCCTCCAGGCCTATTGGCAGCCCTGTACACAAACAGTACCAGGAAACCGGGCCTGCTCTGGCATCAAATGATGAGCAGTTCTTCTGCCATATATGAATGTCCCAGGCCAAACCGCTGTACCTAGAGAAACCAAATTCGGGAAGGTGCTCACTAAGAAGGGATTTTTAGAAATTCAATGCCTAAGTGGAATGTGACAAAGACATTTGCACATAGTACTCCTGCAGTGCACTGAGCTGCACAGGCCAAGTACAAGCAAGGTCACCCTGAGGTGCTCAGAACAACACAGTCTCCACATGAACAAAACAATCCAGAGGCCATCACTTTCGTGGAAGGTGGCAGGAGTTTACTTAACAGACCACTGCTTCTTAAACAGACAGTTCTATGTGGCTTGCTCCAGAGTGAACTCACCAAGCAGCCTGGTGATCCTAGCATCTGAGGGCAGAACCACCAATGTGGTCTACAGAGAGGTCCTTCAGTAGGGGGGGGGGGAAGTACGTATGTCTCACTTCATTTTTTACACTACAATCTTCTCCACTAGAATTCCTACAACAAATGTTACATTTCAGACGTCACATCATCAGTATGTAGCAGGCTAGTCTATATGTAGATTTGTACATTTCAGATATGTACATTTCAGACGTCACATCATCAGTATGTAGCAGGCTAGTCTATATATATAAAAGAAAGTCCTCTCACTGTAAAATCAACGCCCAGCCAAACCCCTGGACCTAGAAACACCAAATTTGAGGAGAGTGCTCCTACCATGACATAGATGCTCACTAAGAAGTGATTTTTAGAAATTCAGCCCCTAAGGGGGTCAAAAGGGGTAAAATGTGCTCCCCCCATTGATTCCTATGCAGCTGCCAGGCTGCTGCTTCCTTGCACCCCTCACTCTCTGATGGGTCAGCTGCAGAGCTGTGTTCTGAGGTAAAAAAAGCCAACAATTACAGAAGTCTGCAGACAGCTAATGACAGTTGAGGAAATCAGGAATGGCCAACAACCACCTGTGAGGTGCAGTAATGCTGATGGCCCAGCCTCTCTGATGGCTTCCAACACACTCCCCCCACCTCCTACACCTAACAGGGGGTTGTCTGTCAGGTGCAGCAGTGGTTGCAGGGTGCTTAAAGCCACGAGGGAGTCTGCCCCAGCAGTAACGCCTTAGTGATCCTGCCGACCCTGCCTCCACAGTGGCTTCTAATACTCCTCCCCCCTCCCACACTGGACAGGCAGCTGTCAGAAGGAGGCAACTTAGGAATGTGGCAAAGACATTTTTACATAGTGCTCCTGCAGGGCACTGAGCTGTGCAGGCCAAATACCAGCAAGATCAGCCTGAGGTGCTCAGAACAACCCAGTTTCCCTAAGAGCAAAACAATCAAGGAACATAAATAGAGAGACCATCACTTTCGTGGAAGGTGGCAGGAACTGACTTAACAGACGACTGCTTCCCAAATGGACAGTTCTATGTTGCCTGCTCCAGAGTGAGCTCATCAAACAGCCTGGTGATCCCAGCACCTGAGGGCAGAACCACCACTGTGGTCTACAGAGAGGTGCTTCGGTAGAGAAAAAAAAGTACGTATGTCTCACTTCATTTTTTACACTACAATATTCTCCACTAGAATGTCACATTTCCAACTTCACATCATTGGTAGTATAACTGGATTTACGGAATTTAAATACCGTAGCGAAGCACGGGTATCAGGCTAGTAAACTATAAGGTAAAATAGTTTCTCTTTGGCCCTGAACTGATACACAGGAACACAGAGTCCAGCAGGCAAAATGGATTTTTAATTATATTTATGAAAAAAAATGCCAAGGCATTTCTTTTATTATCACTGTTATACAAGAAACCAAGGTCTTTGTTTTCCCTTAGAAGATCAGGCAGGCAAATTGGCTCAGGGCCCAGCAATTCTCTTGCTCCCTGGAACCAGAGAGGCAGCAGGTCCTTGCACAGACTGGAAGTTCTTTCAAGGTAGAGAATGTACTTTGGTGCCATCGGAAGCTTTTGTGCAATAGAAAGTTGCGGTCCTGCTGTATTTTTCCTAGTGGGTAAGAGCAAAAGTCAGATTCTGTAAACAGCCGAGAATTCTGTGAATGTTTTATAACAACAAGTAAAGCAATGCTGTAAGGTAATGCAAATCTATATATCACGGAGCAGTACAATCATCTGATAGCAATTACTTAGGGTCAAAATTAGGCTTGACAATGGGAACTGCAGGTGTTTAATAATATATTTGCCTTAATTAGATGGAAAGAAGGATGTGGGATCTATTTTGAAAAACAAAAGAAGTGCGCAGTGGAAGGGTACTTATTCCCCTCTAGCTGAGGTCCCGGTAGCATTGGCAACAACCTTGAAGGAAAAAAGTCTTGTCCCTTTAACAGAGGCTTAATGTGTAGAAATTGACAGCTGAAGCTTTTCATGACACCAAGGTAAATAACATCATCGGCTACATATCATACCACCAGGTTTCTATTCAAGGAACTGGACCTTTTTTTCCTCCATGTTGTTGGCAACCCTAAATATCAGAGCTCAGTTAAGGGGAAGAAAACACTCAAAGAGATGCCTCGAGGAGGTAAGCCTGTCAGGAGGTGAGAAAGGGCAGCTTAACCTGCACATCAGATCCCCACACTTTCTGCATGGCTGGAACATAGTTAAACAAACTTGCAGGAGTCATGTCTTCTTTTGTCACAATGCAACCTACCTTTGCACTACAACATTGGCAGTGTCATCCTAAGCAGAGTTACATCTTTCTAAACTCATTTATATCAGTGGATTTAGAAGGGTGTAACTGCTCAGGATGACAGCGCAAAGCAGCAGCTATATGCACATCTAACCTGTGATTAAGGCTATCTATTGGTCATATTTCTATTCTATCTCTCTAATGAGTCCTGAGAGTGACTAACTAGCCCAACATCACCTGATTTGCTCTGTGGTTAAGTAAAGATTTGAGCCTTGGTCACCCCAGTCTTAATTCAACATTCTGACATAAAGGTCTCCAACCTTGAGGAGTCTGTGGGGCACTTTTAGAATTTTGAGGGAATACCCACAAAATGGCTGCCATGGGGGGCAATCACAAAATGGCCACCAAGGAAAGGGCCAATCACAAGCTGTTGGCAGGTGTCAAGCCAAGCATCTTCCAAGTTGGCATTCCCTGCTGAGGCAATGCCACCCTACCCTCTTCTAAAGTAACTCTTCAACAGAGGAGATGAAGAAAAGCTGGGACTGGCTCATTGTTTTGGGAAAGCAATGATTCTTGGGTTTAAGCTTGGATTCTAAATAGAGATACACTAGAGGAAGTCACGATAGAGGAAGGAGACTGGAGGAGGGCAGATGTTATCCCAGTTTTCAAAAAAGGGAGGAAGGATGATCCAGTCCCTCCGAAGATACTGGAGCAGATTTTAAAGGGATCAATCCGCAAGCATCTAAAGGACAACTTGGTGATCCAGGGAAGTCAGCACGGATTTGTCCCCAACAGGTCCTGCCAGACCAACCTCATTTCCTTCTCTGATCAAGTGACAAGCTTACTGGATTGAGGCAATGCTGTTGATGTTGTTTACTTGGATTTCAGTAAAGCTTTTTCAAGGGTTTCCCATGATGCTCTGATGGGTAAAGTAAAGGATTGTGGACTGGACTCTAGGACAGTTAGGTGCATAGGGAACTGGTTGGACAACCACACTCAAAGAGTAGTTGTCAATGGCATTTCATCTGGATGCAGGGAGGTGTCTGCAGGGAGGTGTCCAGTGAGGTGCCACAGGGCTCAGTTCTGGGCCCGGTACTTTTCAATGTTTTTTATAAATACTCTGGATGAGGGTGTGGAGGGACTACTCATTAAATTTGCAGATGACACCAAATTGGGAGGAGCAGCAAACACACCAGAAAATAGAGATAGAATTCAACGAGATCTGGGCACATTGGAAAAGTGGGTAGATGTGAACAAGATGCAATTTAACAACATGCATACTGGATGTGGGATACACTTCTGAGTAGTAGTGTGTGTGAACAAGATCTTGGGGTAAGGGTGGACCAAAAGTTAAATATGAGCAGCCAATGTGATGCGGTGACAAAAAAAGCTAATATGATCTTGGGGTGTATCAACAGAGGCATAAAATCCAAATTGCAAGATGGAATAGTTCCACTGTACACTGCATTGGTCAGGCCACACTTGGGAGTATTGTGCGCAGTTCTGGAGGCCTCACTTCAAAAAGGATGTGGGCAGAATGGAGCGGGTGCAGAGGAGATCAACGAGGATGATCGGGGGCCTGGGGACCAAGCCCTATGAAGAAAGGCTGAGGGCCTTGGGAATGTTTATTCTGGAAAAGAGGAGGTGGAGGGGGGGACACGATTGCTCTCTTTAAGTATCTGAAGGGCTGTCACTTAGAGGAGGGCAGGGAGCTGTTCCTGTTGGCAGCAGAGGATAGACTTGCAATAATGGGTTTAAATTAAGATCGGGAAGGCACCAGCTGGATATTAGGAAACACTTTTTTACAGTAAGAGTTGTGCAACAGCGGAATCAGCTACCTTTAAGCAGCGGCTGGACAAACACTTGTCAGGGATGCTCTAGTCTGATCCTGCACTGAGCAGGGGGTTAGACTAGACGGCCTGTATGGCCCCTTCCAACTCCGTGATTCTGTAAGGCAATATCCACATCAGTCCTCTCCGATTACAGCTTTCTGTGCTCCACAAAACCATATTCCTGTGGGTCAGTGGACTTCCACCCACACCTGAGTAAAGTGGGAAGTAAAGTGGGAAGGGAACACTGGCAAAACGTAACCCTTCTCTCCTTTCTGCCAATGGAAAAACAAAGTTTTCAAAGGAAGAGGAGGGTTTGCCACAGGAAGATGCTGCCACATCTAGAGTCATTTAACAAAGCTTGCTAATATTGTTAAGCTGAGGGCACAAAGCTGGGATAGGGACAATATATTGTTCTAAATAGCTAAAAGCTATTCTATACAGTTTTAGACCCAACTGTTGTGCTCAGTAATGGAGTTGGCACAATCACAGGGCAGCACAGGTCACATCAAAGATAAGATGGAATATGGACAAGAATGAATGTATTATAAGTATTAGTAAGTACACCTGGGTATCCTGCCAGTCATAACAATGTGCTCAGCAGTTTGCAGTCAAGTGACTCTTCCACATACCTTAATGTGTCTCACAACTTTCTTGGTTGCACTGGATTCAAGGAGAGTAACAGTACAACCTCCAAACCCGCCACCAGTCATTCTGCTGCCGTAAACACCAGGGTCCTCTAAAGCAGCAGCAACCAGCTCATCTAGTTCTGCACAACTGACTTCATAGTCATTCCTGAGAAAGAAGGGCAAGTCACTCCTAGAAGGGAAAGTTCATCGCTGCCAAACAAAAAGAATGGGCAGCAAATTTCAAAAAAAGGATCTCAGGAACAAAACCCCAGCAAGAAACTTACAACAGATGACCATTCACAGCACAACACGGTGCTCCTACAGAAGTTGCCAAATGCCACTTAGGGCTGCCTTAAGACAAGCATCATTTAGAAGGTAAGGAAAGCAGTGGAGCTGCCCTTTTCTGGACGCATATCTAATTTTCAGTTATGTTCTTGTAAAACATTCAGAAACATTTCAAAAGATTTAGTTCAGCATCACACACAAAAATGTTCAACACGTTACTATTATTTCTTTGAAACAGTAGAAATCTGTTATATATATATAGGAAATATTTGTCACAGAGTGGTTAAGAGAATAAACTGGGATTTGGAAGGTTCGTCGTTCAGCCACAAGTGTCATCCCAAGCAATCCCAATGAGAAGGGTGCATCTCTGGCCCTGCAAGTGGCCTTACACAGGCTACCTTCCTGCACAGAAGTCATTTCCATGTAGGATCAGCCTACATGCCTGCAAATCGCTTTGTGCACCCTTCATACATTTGCCAGGTATCTGAGGTCATGAACGTTAGGCAGTTTGCATGCTTGCAGGGCTGACATGCAGGATAATCTATCTGCGGGAACGTCACTGGGTCCACAATGACCCAAAGGCTCTTCACTCTTTCAGGTGTTAGCCTACCGCAAAGAATTGTGACTCTCCACCATCAGTTGCCCAAATCTCTTGTAATTTCTGGACTGCAGAGCCTCAGCTGCCTTGGTAGTGCGTTCAATCTCCCCAATCACATGCCTAGCTCGCCGGTACACCTCCTCACTCATCAGGGCCTTAGAAGCTGCCCAGAAAAATATCTGCAGTTAGGCAAGGTAGATTAAGAAATTATCTCCTAGGAATTATCTAGGTTACATAACTCCCCTTCAGAAAAAAAATTAGGTGGAATACAAATTCTGGCATTAAACATACAGCTACATCTTCAAGAACACCCCCCCCCCCCCATTTTTTGGCAGTCTTCTGACCATCTCACATTGCTCAGGATTTGGGATGTAATATTCCAAAAACTTCTGAAGGAATGTTGAACACACATGAATGCATGGAGCTGCCTTATACTGAATCAGACCACTGGTCCATCAAGACCAGAACTGCCTACTCAGACTGGCAGCATCTCTCCAGGGTCTCAGGCAGCACTGTTTCACATCACCTACTGCCTGGTCCTTTTAATTAGAGATGCCGGGGAATGAAACTGAGACCTTCTGCATGCCAAGCAGATGCTCTACCACTGAGCCACAGCCCTTCCCCTTAATAACTGTGTGCCATCAAGTCGCAACCAACTCATGGCAACCCCCAGGACCATAGAGTTTTAAAGGCAAGAGATTAGCAGAGGTGATTTGCCATTGCCATCCTTCGCCTAACAACCCGTCTTCCTTGGTGGTCTCCCATCCAAGTACTAACTGTGGCTAACCCTGGTTAGCTTACAAGCTCTGACAAGGAAAAACCCTTTATCTCTACCCCCACAAGCTTTTCCGGACAATTCTTACCCTCTAAGCTGGACATGCTGGCTTCTCTCAGGCTTGCCTTGCCAAGCACCTTTGCTGCCTCTTCACATTGGCGCTTACGTGTGGAGTATTCACTGCCCGTCAAGGTGTGCCGTACATTGGAATTGGTGATGAGGATGACTAAGTTTGAATCAGTCAAAGGTACCAGATGAGTCTCCAGAGACCTGGACTCAGAGGACACAACAAGGCCACGTGAAACAATTTCAAAAGTATGGGGCTTTTAAATGTTAGATTTCTACTGTGAACCCGTGTTGCCATCACGCTTGTGGGGTGACCTCAAACCATCCCCCCCCCCCAATTGTTGTGAGGATACAATGAGGAAGGAAGAATTATGTATGCCACCTTCAGCTCCTTGGAGAAAAAGAGGCGGTATTAAAATGTATTAGATAGAAGCAGATATATTGTCCAAATACTGTTCTTAATCAGGTTTCCTAATCAGGGGTCAAGTAGAATTGAGTTGTTTTAATCAGATTCAGTTAAATGCACTGGCATTAAAAGGAAAAGAGGGAATTCTAACAGTCTGCTCTGCTCATGTGGAAAGAAGAGAAAATCATGTCACCTAAAAGTGCATGAGCCAAAATGCTGCGGAAATTGGGGATGTTTCTGCCAGTTACTAGAGACCAAAAGGGTAAAATGATACACAGCTTTTAGGGCAGGGAGAATCACAAGTAATACCTGTAACTTTTTGTCTTCCATCAGACTCCTTCCGAGTCTTCAGCAGTGATTGTCCATAACTAAATATTAAAATCTTCCTTACGGGGCTAAGCAGCACCTGACTCCTTCATTAATTATGGCTACTTGGATGTAAGGGGCTACATGGGAATTGGGTCTCTCAGTACACTGAGCTACAAATTACATCCTGACCTGCAGTCTATCAGCAAAGCATGGCCCTCCTTCCCCATCACAGAGATGAACTGGTCCATGATCCCACAAGGCATCATTGCAAAAGTGTGTTCCGCTTTCTGGCATGCCAGAGCCTTAGCTACTGGATCCCCATCATCTGTGTCACAGAAGAAAGAGACATTCACAGGCAAGTGAATACTTCCTCTGCTCCATCCAATGGGCATCAGGCACAATTTTTTCATGATACTTTTCTCCCATTCTAGCCAGTTTCCAATTCCAACATCCTCTTTCCAATAGGGAACAGACAACTGCTTCTAAGCTCACAAGCTGTGCATGAAGGTTGCCACCCTCTCCTGTTGTTTGTCTCTGACATCTGGTACTCAGCAGTATATTGCCTCTGGAGATTTAACTCAGCTGACATGGCTAACAGGTACAATGTGCTTAAGCCACAAGCCAGAATTTTTTTACCTTGACAAAGCTGCTGCAGAAATGTGTAGGTAGCCACCTCCAAGGATGCTGAACTTGACAGACCACCACCCAGTGGAATGTTACTGGCTATGACCGCATTAAAGCCCGGGAGGGGGCCAGCTACAGGGAGACAGAAGGAGGAATAACAGAGCTTTCAAAGATCAGCAAGACCACTATAAAAATACAAACTTTTCCTATTAGCACCAGGCACCCCTGAAGTCCCGTCTTATCCTGAGAGGGGGGGGGGGGATGCTCAGTTTACTTACAGCAATGAAAGGGAAGGGCCCTGCTTTGGAGAGTTGAAAGCACAATTTGACCGAGTCACTGCAGGATTCCTTTTTGGAAAGTTTGCTGCAATGGCCATTGTGAAATCCCACACATTCCCATTTGTTTACTGTACTGACTGGACTTTATTATAGTGCAGGTAAATAATTAAATACAACTAAGAAAATTAACTAGAGAGACATCAATCATCTGTGCTCCATTCTATGTATTTTTGCCAAAGGGGTTGAAGCACAAAGATAAGCTTCACGTTCTGTATGTAGCGGTACAAGTAAAATGCAAACAAACAATACACGTCTCGCATGGCAGTCCTAAGCACAAGTGCACCCTTCGATGGACTTCAGTCTTAACTCAAATCGTCATTAGAGAGTTAGTTTGGTGTAATGGTTAGAGTGTCAGACTAGTATCTGGGAGAACTAGGTTTGAATCCCCACTCTGCCATGGAAGTTTGCTGGGTGACCTTGGCCCGGTCATAAACTCTCAGCCTAACCTAGCTCATAGGGTTGCTGTGAGGATAAAATGGAGAAGAGATAATGTAAGCCACTTTCGGTCCCCGCCTGGAAGAAGGTGGGGAACAAAACTCTCGTTAGGATTGCAGTTTTGTAATTGTAATTTCCTCCCTCATTCTTTTGCCATGCCCAAGTAATAAGCTATACAATAATGTAATAACATTCTACAATTGTGCCACTGAACATGTACAGAGTGTCCTTTACCAACTGCAGACTCTCTCCCCATAGACTCAGAATGAAGGAGTGGGACTTCCTTCCAAATAGCAGATTGCAAGGTAGTTCCGAGTCTTGGCATCTCTCCTGGCGCCTCATTTGGAAGGACTGGCCACACCTACTGTTCATACCTTCTTTGACAGCACTCTGAAAGCACAGCCCACTTTTTAAAAAGAATATGGTAACACTGTCACTAAATTGGGAGCTGTACTTGAAAGCTGTTCACTTTCATCACTGATCCATCTACCATTCCTACACCACAGCAGGAAATGGGCGGGGAGGATCCTCTCCACCAAGGAATGCTGTTATGTTCTTTCCTTATCCCAAGCTTGCCAAAGAATGTATTAGCCCCTAGATTAACTCAGTCTTTACCCCTATAATGCTGGATCACCCCCTTGACATAATTTGCCCATTGAGGTTCTCCTGGTTTCAAGGCACCACCTTCCACTGGAACCAGAAACTGCACACTTTTGGGCTCATCAGCTTCTTCAGCTGTTGTGACAATGGATATTAGTCCATCTTGCCTTGGACTCCCAACCATCACAGTTCTCAAATGCAAGGCCTGAAAACAGAGACAATACCTGAATCTATCCCAGTAAAAACCATAAACAACGGTTACGTAAGATATAGAGCAGGTAGGGAAAGAGGTACTTTTCTCCCTTTCTCACAATACAAGAACCCGTGGGCACTCAATGAAATTGCTGAGCGGTCGGGTTAGAACGGATAAAAGGAAGTACTTTTTCACCCAAAGAGTGATTAACACATGGAATTCACTGCCACAGGAAGTGGTGGCGGCTACAAGCATGGATGACTTCAAAAGGGAATTAGATAAGCATATGGAGCAGAGGTCCATCAGTGGCTATTCGCCACAAGGTATAGATAGGGGCTCTGGGGCAAGTGATGCTCTGTCTTCTTGGTGCTTGGGGGGGGGTCAACAGTGGGAGGGCTTCTAATGTCCTGGCCCCACTGGTGGACCTCCTGATGGCACCTGGTATTTCTGGCCACTGTGTGACACAGAGTGTTGGACTGGATGGGCCTGATCCAACATTTGCATCTCTTATGTTCTTATCTTCCAAATGGAATTTTGAGAGGGCAGGTTGGAAATGAGGACAGGTATGAGCCGATAAGATATTGCTGAAGAGCCAAGTCAGGTGTGGGAACAGCCCAAGAGGCAGAGGACTGGTCCTTGTTTTGATAATGTTTAGTAAACAAGAACATTAGTTTAAGGAAGTTACTATCTCCTCCACATCAAGATGCTGCAAACCAGGGGTTTCCCAATGCAGTCACTAGAGCCTTTTGATAGGTCTACCAAGACTGACTTGCACCCAGGGATATGACAGAGAATATGACTGTGCTGTGGCCACTGCCTATCTGCAGCCAGTCAGCATATTCTGTGAGGTCTTTGGCAGCCATTGCTAAAGACTGATTTGAGCACCTCTGTGTTAAATCATGTTCGCTGACAGATGCAAAACAGCATGACCCTAAAGGGCTTTCACAGGAAGATTTTCAACATGAACAAAAGCATTTTGTCGCTGTTCACCTGTGGCTTCCTTGGCTGGGTCCCTGCATTCATGTCAGTGATAGCTCTGGCCTTCTTAGGGTAAAGCACAACTTTCTCATTACCACAGTGCAACTGGACTCATTTAAAGGGCATGGTGATGTCAGTAACTCATAGCCAATGTTATAAAAATATACTTACTGAAATAATAGAACAAAGTTTGAGTCCAGCGGCACCTTTAAGACCAACAAAGTTTTATTCAAGGTTGATGTTCTTAAAGGTGCCACTGGATTCACTTTGTTCTGCTGCTTCAGACCAACACAGCTTACCCACCTGAAATAATAGAGACATCATTTACAAAGGAATAACAACTCACCATAAACTTAAACCATTTCCAAAACAAGCCACTGTACCAGTATCCTTATTCGAAACTTTGATTAATAAATTTCACAAATGTAATCATTTTTAATGTATATAATTCACTTCCTTTACACATCAAAGCTATATCCTCTAATTTAGATGAGTTCCCCCCCCCCCCCGTTATAATGGGGAAGTGTACTCTACATGCAAATTTAGTGTGAGGAAACATCCAATAACAGGATTATTGCTCAAATTGGGATCTTTGAGTCTTGCTAAATCTTTTGGGATACTTTCCTCCAGTTTTGCAACAGGAAGCTCTTGTGCTTCAAATACAAGAGTCATTGTTCAAACATTCCTTCCCTTGAAGTAGTAATAACTCACTGTAGCTGGCAGGATATGGTTTTTAAAATGTGATTTTTATTATCTATGTTTGGTAGCTGCCTTGGTAGACCTTGTGAGGGCAGAAAGGCAGAATATACATTTTGTAAAATAAAAATAAATTAAACATGAAAAGTGCAATTATGCATAGCATAGAAGATGGCCCACGGTGAAAACTGTACAGTGGAGCCACCCACAAAGAAAGTAGGGACTCATTGGGCTCCCCAGGCACACAGAAAATTAACCCAAAACAGACAAGCAAACAATGCCTCATTGTTGACTGAAAATGATCCAGAAGGGGTGGAACGTAGAGAAGAGCGGCATATTAATTAAGGGGAGGAAAGAATAAGCATGTTCCAACCCCTGATCCTGGAGGGGAAGGAGGGGAAGGGGTTCCAATCATTCACCTCCCCACTACTCCTAAAGGACCCAGCTTGTAAAGGTATAACAACCTGAAAAAACTGACATTAAAGCAAGCTGAATATTTTCTGCTCTGTAGCGAAACAATAATGTCAAGCAAACACTGCTCCTTAGTTCTATTCGTGTAAAACCACAAATACTGGGGAGACGGGTCCTGAAGCCGTTTGAACGTGAACCCCAGGGCAAGTCCGATAATGGCATCTTCAGCTGCTACTACCGTCCCGTGGGGCCAAACCTTCGCAAATACCTATATTTCCTCCAGGGTGTGATTTTGCTTTATTTTCAGAAACGGAAAATAAATCCACTTCCATGAGATCGACCCCCGAAGTGTTACATTTCCAGAAAGCTGTAACTATCTGGCCAGGAACTCTGCCCCTTTTCTACGTCACCCGTCCCTTACCATCGGCAGCACGAAGCCCTGGTTGTAATCGGTGTGCTCTCCGATCAAGTTCACCCTTCCAGGTGCTGACACCCCAATCTTGGGATCTACCCCTCCAAAAGCCCTTTTGTACACTCCGCAAGCGGCCGCCAGGAGCGATCCCAGGTCGGAGTCCTTGAGCCCTTCCATCTTTTGATCTTAAGGCTACAGGAACAGGAGCCAAATTCCAAGTGCCTCTCGATGTAAAGGATCGGGAGAGCCCGGGACCTCCGTCTCCCTAAATAAGGAGCAAAATATTACAACACCATTCAGAGCGACATCCGCGTTGCGCGTCCCTCCTGTACACGCGTCTCTCCCCCTTGCTTCCTGCCTTCAGACGGCATCATCGCCCCGCCCCTGGATTTCCGTCAATGTTCTCTAGGGGTCGCTAGGCTTCCTTTAATCCTCGCTTCCGGTGTTTCCGAAGGCGTTTCTTTTTTTCTAGCGGCCGACGGGATGGTGGGTGCGTAGACCTAACGGAAGTTCTGAGAGTCTTTACAGCTTCCACCACCTCGGAATTATTTTTGATTGTGCCTTTTTTTTGATGAGGACCAAAAGGAAGCTAAGTTCAAGACGTATCTAAATTTTAAGATCACGATTTTGGCCAATTTTACGTAGGCAAATTGACTTCAATGATCATATTACTCTAGTCTAGATTAATTTCTGCAGAAATACCTAGAAAGCATCACATCCCTCATACTCAGGGTGTAAACAAACTAATTGTAAGCGCTTTTGTTTGATAGTAAAGTTCATGTATTTTAGCGAAACTTACTTTCCAAATGAGCTTAGCCTTGGAATGTTAATAATAGCCAGAATAAAAAATGCAACATACAGAATCATATCCATTAAGTTGTGTTGAATGACACTGAATGGGTATAGGGCAGGGGTGGCCAAACTTGCTCAACATAAGAGCCACATAGAATAAACGTCAGATGTTTGAGAGCCTCAAGACATGAACAAATACTACACGTTTTTATTTAACATTATATAAATTTACTTTTTAACATTAGAGACTGCCAAAAATAAAAACAAAAGTGGTAAAAACAGATATTGATAATGATATTTATTTGTCCAATGATATTTGTTTGCTAATGATATTTATTTGTCTAAGAGGGAGAGAAAAGTAGAGGTGGAAAGAAAGAATGAAAAAGGTGGAAAGAAAGAGATAGAAACAAAGAAAACAAATAGGTGGAAGAAAGGGAGGAGGGAGGGGGGGAAGTATGCCTCCCCTTTGCTTTACCAGATGCCCTGCTGGGAGCCGCACAATATGTGTGAAAGAACCACATGTGGCTCCCGAGCTGCAGTTTGGCCACCCCTAGTATAGGGCTTTCCTCTTTTGCACAAAGAAGTTTTCCAGTGCTCTGCCGATGACCTCAGTTGTCATTGTTGGGCAGTCCCACAGGTCTGTTTATAACAACACAGCTGATGATATTAATGCTAGTGGCTCAGTTGTGGTGTGACAGTGTAGTGGTTGGTGTAGTGGTTAAGTGTGGTGGACTCTAATCTGGAGAACTGGCTTTGATTCCCCACTCCTTCACATGCAGCCATCTGGGTGACCTTGGGTCAGTCACAGCTCTCTCAGAGCTGTTCTCTTAAGAGCAGTTCTCTCAGAGCTCTCTAGGCCCCACCTACCTCACAAGGTGTCTGTTGTGGGGAGAGGAAGGGAAGGAGACTGTAAGCCACTCTGAAGCTCCTTTGGGTAGTGAAGACCGCAGTATAAAAGCCAACTCTTCTTCTAGATGGGCACTTATTGGTTTATATTCATTAGGTCATTGGCCCTTGACAGGGTTCCATATGTAAAGAATTCAAGGAAGACAAAAAACAAGATATCTCTCCTTGTTTCAAGATCAGAAGAGCTGGCCGCTGAGGATCAATTCCAGAGGGACAGTTGTGTTAAGCTGTTACAGCTAAAACGAAAGGAGCCTTGTGGAACCTCGAAAGCTATTGAATTTATTGGCATAAACTTTTGAGGACTAGAATCTACTTCATCCAATGCATGAAATGTCGCCACAATACATATGTATGGAGTGTGTATGTTTTAGACCCTTGCAGTTGGTTTTAGCAAATCTATCCTGTTTTCAATGTTTTTAGGCTGTGGATTTAGAGGCTCTTTTAATGTTATATCTCCCTATATAATAATTGTCATTTGGGGTGGCACTTTCCAGAACATTTCATGCGCTCCCTAATCAGTTGGCTCAGTGATCTGTCACTCAGAATGTGTCCGTATCCACTGGCTGCGTTGCCTGAGTCCCACCCAGCCGCCACTCGAGTACTCGCGTGCCATTGGCCGGGTGCTGGGTCTGCTCCTCTTCCCTGCCCACTCCTTCAGCCACTGTGCCCTGTCAGAATTACTGGCAAACGGCTTTCTCTCTTGAAGAAGACGCTTCTCCTGTTTGCCTCCTGTGTGGGACTAACTTTTCCCTCAGTGGATGTTGGTAGGTGTAATGAAATGGCAGTTACCTGTGTTTGTAAGATGGCTGCTGTCTGGTTGTGTGTTTAAAATGTTCCCCCATAAGGTTTAGTTGAGCTGTAGTTCCAGAGAAGGGCCTTCAGGGGTACCACTCACTGGGTTGAATGGGGCTTCCTCATCTGCTGGCCTACAGTTCCCAGCTGCCCCAAGGCCAAAAAGTGCGTGAAAAGAGGGACCATCCCAAGGGGCAGGGCAACATCAATATAGACTCCAGCTAAGCCACAAGCCAGAGACGTGGGGGAACCCTGGGAGGCAGCAGAAATTCAGTCACTCCACAGTTAGCTGGTTTGGGGAATTAATGGAAGTTTCCCTGCTGAGAGAGAGGCTGAAGCAGAGCCAGAGGCCGGTCCAAGGAGAAATCCTATCCTGAGCCCACAACCTCCAGAGGTAGAGAGTATTGTGTGT